ACGTAATCTCTTTTTTACAGTGTACTTTGGATTAGTTTTTATGTATTGCTCAGAAGCAGGATTTATGTGTGCAACATAACACAAAAATGTTTCTAAATGACCAGTTGATACATTTTTATATGGAAAAATGACACGTAAAATAGCTTTTTTTGAACTTGCCCACAAGCATTTTCATGATTTCACCTAAATTTGACGACCACCAGAATATTATTTGCTTTTGAAAATATGTCCATATTATATTTAGATATAATTTTAGATTTTTAGATTATATTTATATTTAAATATTAAGATATTTTCTTTGGAATCTAAATGTATATTTTCCTGCCAATGTTGCTATCGAACACTTCGCCTGAACATGCTGACAGCTGCTGTGAAGCATTAATTAAATCCTTATTTTCCAAGGAGCAGAACAAATCATCATCATGCATAGTTGGACGGGCACAAACAAAAATAGAATCCGTATATTGTTCTTAGAAAAAATATACTTTTGAAACGAATATCGTTTGCTATAATTTGTATTTTTATTCTAAATTAATTTTATTAATAAACAAATTTCGAGAGGATCACGTGCTTATGATTTACCACGGCTGATCTCGCAGCAACTAATCACGATCTCCCAATCGTATGATTTTCCATGTACTATGAATAACCACAGTTTTAGTCCACAGTTATCTTCATATGGAGAAAAAAAAAACAACCTTTCCTCCCCCTTCTCCTCCTTCTCCTCCTTTCCATAGATGAGGTGGCAAGTGATTAGCACTGTTGCCCCACAGCAAGAACACTGCCAGCCCTGGTCCTCGCCAGGCTGGTGGGTGTTTCTGTGCGGAGTTTGCATATTTTCCCCGTGTCCGCGTGGGTTTCCTCCAACCATCCAAAGATATATGTAATTCTTAACAGATTAAGCAATTCAGGCACTAGTCTAACTCCCTTCCTCCTCAAGTGTTTCTAGCTACCGCAGCCAGGGAGTTTGAGATCTATCTAAGCTCAAGCTCCCTCTCGCTCTATGATTGGGAGGGAGCTCAGGGCTCTCCCCCGGGACAGCATGCCAAACAAGCTTATATTTATTCATCAGCTAAGTGTGAACTCTTGAATGTACTTTTCGTTGGTCAGTTAAGGCAAAGTGCTTCAAATCAAGTCCACTATATGCTTCAGCACCAAAACACGAGTTGGCGTGAGATTGTGTTGGTTTGTTAAATAAAGTAATAATCTAGCCTAAATAAAATCAAGTGAAATATTCACCGTTTCAGAGAAGCATACTGTATATTAACTGTTTTCACTCTTAATTATTTTTAGTTTCGACCTGGTGACATCTGTAGGTTTCATCAAAACTGCAACATTAACTGGTGAACATTACATCGTGAATCATATTAAATCTCAATCACAATCTATTTTTTTTCCCTTAGGATCATGGGATATCAAAGCCAGCGTATGTGATGTGGATCCGGCAGGAAACTGAAGAGCTGAATATTTGTCAAGAGGATACACTCTGCCACGAGACGCTGCTTTACATTCAGTGAAGACGACCTGAGACTCCCCCGTGCAGACGCACATTGCCCACCTTTAGTGTTTGCAAGCTTATTTTGGAGGGCGACGCGGCACTGCATATTACTGTGCTTCTGTTTGCTTTCTTCTCCGTTTGCAATGATGTCATAGGAAGTGCTCACCATCAGAGCAGAATGTGGAGTGATGAGTTCTCTTTTTTTTAAATTGTATTTTATTATCTTGCTACTTTTGTTCTTATTATTTTTAGTATTCAAGCCTTTAAATACAAACTATAAACTCCAAAAAGACCCCGCCCTGTCGCCGTCTGAACAACAAGAAAGGAACAAACAGAAACGACTGTACTGAAATGAAGACACGCACACACAAACAAAGGGAATATCCTGATGAATGAATGTATGGTGGACTTGTAGTATTCGTCGAAATGGTTCTAGCTAACCTGCATCTCGTCTCTGTATCTCTCTATCAAAGACCATCTAGGTTTCTGCATGCCTTTCATGCTCTTATGCAGGAAAAAAAGGTCTATTTTTTTTTCTTTTTAATCGAATCGTCAGCCAAGTCGTGATGGTGTATCACTAGTGTGTCAATTGAGCCGTTGTTCTAGAAGCTTCAGTGCCGTAACTCTTGTGCCAAGTGAGTAAAATGAAGCGCAGTGGTTTTAAAGTGAGCTCTTTCTTTACTTTCTTTCTGCAGGGAAAATCTCGCGTGATGCTGTATGTCGTAAACAAATTTCAAGATGTATTTTATCTCGCCTTGCACTTTAATATAGTTCTAAAGAGGAAAAAAATAAGCAGACTTAAAGGTTGAGTGTGTTTTGATTTCTTTGCTATGGAAAATCTATGATGAGGTGTTACATATAATCAAACTTCTGAATGTTCTCCAGCTGCCGTCCCTGAAAGAGGGCTCAGTCTGTATATGAAAAAACCCTGAGCAAAACTTGATCTCAGCTAATGTATGGTTCACAGCGGTGTGTATCAGCACTCTCCAATGGTACGATGTAACTGTTTTTTCCATCAAAAGAAATAACACACAGTACTGAACTACTTAATCGTTTTCTTGATAGTTGTGAGCCAAAGTCTAACAGTATTGCTCTGTAATAAAAGACATCGCAAAATGTAGGAACTTTTATTAGACAGTCAAGGTGCTGATTATGCTCAAAAGCTGGACTGTTTTTATTATTATTATTGTTTTGCATGTCTTTGTTTTAAAGTTCCTCATCTGTGATGAAATGTTGTGCGTGCTGTTCAGTTTTGATTAACATGACGAATACATCATTTGACCATCTCTGTGTATCAACGCATAGATTTAATCAGGTACATAGTGGAAGGCGATTATTTTATGAACAGTTTGTTTTTGTTTTTGTTTTTTTTGAAAGAGGATATGAATCAAAATGGAAGAGGTAGATGTTATTTGCTGGTACCGGTCATTGTCGAGACTACTGTTTACTTTGAAGATGTCTTATTTATCCTTTTAATTTAAAAATATTCTTGCCATATGGGTTGCAGTCAAGCTTCCACGGCCTTGGACTCTGTTCGACTGACTGCAATCACCCACTTCAGGATTGTTGCTGTTGACTTGATGCAAAAATAAAGTGTGGCCATTGCTGTTTGACTTCTTGCGGAGTATATTTTTAAGACCTGTTCACAACACTTTTTAATCCTCATTTTGACTGACATATCTCAATTTTTACTTTCCGTCTCATAATCTTTTCTTTTTAGAAAATCCTAATTGACTTCATTTATTTATTTTCTTTTGGGCTTAGTCCCTTTATTAATCAGGGGTCGCCACAGCGGAATGAACCGCCAACTTATCCAGCATATTTTTTACGCAGCGGATGCCCTTCCAGCTGCAACCCATCACTGGGAAACATCTATACACACATTCACACACACTCATACACTATGGTCAAATAGCTAATTCACCAGTACCGCACGTCTTTGGACTGTGGGATGAAACTGGAACACCCGGAGGAAACCCACACAAACACGGGGAGAACATGCAAACTCCACACAGAAATGCCAACTGACCCAGCCGAGGCTTAAACCAGTGACCTTCTTGCTGTGAAAACGTCAACACTCATAATTTTGACCATCTCAAAACTTTCCCTTTTTAGTAAATCATAATTTTGACCTCATCATTTTTACTTTTTATCTCATAATACTCTATCAAAAATATATAAATAAATGTGATAAAATTTAAAAACTTATCACATGATTTTATCTCATTATATTAACTTACAAATTTTGACTTTTGTCTCATAATTTTTATCTCGTAATCTCATAATTTTGAGACCACTTTTTAACTTTTTAATTATCATTTTTACTGACATTTTATAATATCAACATTTTATCTCATATTTTTTTCTTTTGGTAAGTCATTTAGTCTCATAATTTTGACAGATTTTTAACTATTTTTGACATATCGTATTCATATTGAAACTTATAATTGACTTTTTAATCGAATTTTGTACTCATATATTACAGACATCTCATAATTTATTAGCATAAATATCATTATTATAATTTATCTCATCATTATTATTGACTTTTATCTCAATTTCAACCTTTTAATTTTTACTTTTTTGTAATATATTTAGTGTCTCAATTTTAACCTCATAATTTTGGCATCTCATGTTTATATATATATATATTTTTTTTTTTTTTTGGATAATGTTGACTTTTTATCAAAATGTTTATTTATCATTTTAACCATCTCATAATTTAGAGACTTATCTCATAATTTAAAATATTTACCTCATAATTTTACTTTTCATCTTAAAATTATGAGGGGAACTAGTAAAAATTTGATTATGACTTTCTCATAATTTTCTCATAATTTCAGCATCTAACATTTACTATTTATTATAACACTGAGACATCTTATAATTTACTGTACCTTTTAATTTTTTTGTTTGTTCTCATTTTTATCTCATTTTTTAGTTTCAACTTTTTATCTCAGAATTTTGACAAAATTATGAGACTCAAAGTTGAGAGAAAGTCAAAATTATGATTTACTTTAAGATTTTTTACTTTTTATGAGATGGTCAAAATTTTGACAAAAAGTTAAAAAATGAGATGTTGAATTAATGAGTTGTTATCTCAAAATAATGATATAACAGTCATTTATAAGATAAAAATGAAGGTACAAACAAAATTTGTCAAAACTAAGAGTTTCTAACGCTAAATTATCAGTCAAAAGATTATTAAGATTAAAAAATTTACCAAAAAGTTAGAAGTATTAGACAAAAAATGACCTTAAAATACGAGATAAAAAGTCAAAACTATGAGGTAAACATTATGATAAAAATGAGATTTCTAAATATATGATAAAAGTTGAAATTATGATGTAAATGATGATAATTATGAGATAAAAGGCTCCAAATTTTTACAAATGTCAAAATACATGTTCACTGTTATTTAATTTTGACTTAAGAAGTAGAAGATATGAGATGTAAAAAAGATGACAAACTTGATGTTTGAAAAAACACAATAGCAAGAAAAAAAGATTAACAATGTATCAAATGTATTGTAAATATCTTAGCTATAATCTTCACGATTACCTAAAAAGACATAGTGAAGTGTAACCTGAATACTTTTATTTCCGGTCCAGTTCCAGTAAATAATCCTGCTTCTTGAATGTTTCTTCTGCAACAAATTACAAAGAAAAGCACATTACAGTGATTTCTGAAGTCTCATGTGACAGTACATGCTGTAATCAATATTATTGCTTTACTGACTAAATAAATGCAGCCTTGCTGTGCGAGAATTCTTTCAAAAATGAAACATCTTGAACTTAAAAATTTCTCACTCCTACTTCTTAACAGTGAATTTATTTTCAAAATCTTGATGAAACTGCAAAATTAAAAGAAAAGGTATTGTAAGACTTCTCCAACTTTTAACACAAAAATATGTTCACAAATACAACTGTGTGAGAAAATTTGCTTAAAAAAAACCTGACATGCCTGACTGCTTTGTATATATCCCCTATGTGCTTGTAAACATGACACTGCAGTATAAATGTTCATTTCTCTTGTTTGACATCAGCAGGCTGCTCTAGCTCAGGCGGTCCATCCCCGGACTCTTCCTTCTGTTTTTCTTCTTTTTTCTTCTCCTCCTCCTCTTCATCGTCCTCCCAGTCAGACTCGCTGATGTCGTCGTCTGAAATGTCCCACTGGGGCTTGACCTCCTCCTGCTCTGCGCTGTTCATGTTGTCGGTGAGCTCTGGCTCGGGTTTGTGTTTGGGGTCCTCCAGTTTCCCCCAGGCTACAGCATCAGCCTTCCTCATGCTCACCTCAACCTTAGACGGCACCATGTTTACCAAACTGCTCTTTACGTCAATCACCTGCGAGAAAGAGAACGCTGACTCTGGTAAATGTTTGATATGAATACCTTCGATATGTTAGCATTAGATTAAACTAAAACTACTGAAATACGTGTTAATGAACATTAAAATATTTGATGGAGATTTGTTACGATAAAAAAGAGAAAAACTTCAAATAAAATAAACAAGAGTTAGAAATATTGGCTGTGAAAAAGAAGGTAAAATACAAAAACCACTAATGAGTCTTTGTTTAAAAATATTAGGCTAAAATAAAAATATTAGGCTGCATGGTGGCGTAGTGGGTAGCACGTTTGCCTCACAGCAAGAAGGTCGCTGGTTCGAGCCTCAGCTGGGTCAGTTGGCATTTCTGTATGGAGTTTGCATGTTCTCTCCATGTTCGTGTGGGTTTCCTCCGGGTGCTCCGGTTTCCCTAACAGTCCAAAGACATGCGCTAAAGGTGAATTGAGTAAGCTAAATTGTGCTTAGTGTATGTGTGTGAATGAATATATATAGGTGTTTCCCAGTAATAGGTGGCAGCTGGATGGGCATCCGCTACTTAAAACATATGCTGGATAAGTTGGCAGTTCATTTCGCTGTGGTGACCCCAGATTGATAAAGGGAATAAGCCGAAAAGAAAATAAATGAATGAAAAAAATTTGAGCTTACAATAACAAAAGCTAATTCAAGATAATAAATAACTGTGTATCCTGAAAAAATCTGATTAAATATTAACTAACAGAAATGAGTAGAATTCACCTGGCAACTAACTAAAATAATAGTTTAAATATTAAATAAAAGTATAATAATATTAAGTTATTTAATATAAAAAATAATAAATGAAACTAGCACACAATTACAAACAAAAGTAGTACATATCAAGTGAAAATTAAAAATTAAAGCCAATTCTAAATATTAATGAAAACTAAATTATAGTACAAATATGAATATGGCTAACTGAAACAAACTAAAATTAAATATAGAACATTTATAAATATAAAACAAGAATAAAAATCAAACTAGCACATAAGTAAAAAGAAAAGTAGCAACTATTAAGTAAAAATTAAATATAAAAGCTAATTCTAAATATTATTTACAAACTAAATAATAGTTTAAATATGAATATGGCTAACTGACACAAACAAATATTAAATATAAAAACATTTATAAATATAAAATAAGAATAAAGATGAAACTAGAACATAATTACAGACAAAAGTAGTTAATATAAAGTGAAAATTAAAAATAAAAGCCAGTTCAAAATAATAATGAAAACTAAATAATAGTTTAAATACGAATAACTGAAACGAGCAAAACTTAAATAAAAAAGGATTTCTAAATATTAAAAAATAGCAAATAATAAATATTAAGTGAAAATTAACTAAATAATTAAATAATTAAAATTAAACATAAAAGCCAATTCTAAATATTAATGACAAACTAAATAATAGTATAAATATGAATATGGCTGATTGAAACAAACAAAACTTAATTCTAAAAACAATTATACGATTATACGAAACATACGAACAAATCAAAAAATTTGAAATGGTGTTAGAAATGATTTTTTATGTAATTTGTCTAGTCTTTTATGCAACCACTTTAAACAAAACGTTGACTCAACATTTTAAGGCAACCAGCTTCAGGACATTTGAGTGGAGTACTTGGGTTGAAAGTTGAGTTAACTCAAAAAAGCTCTGCAGTAATTTGCTGTACAATTTAAAGTTAAGTCAACATTTTTTACAGTGTGTGTCACTGTATGTATCTTTTACTTCTGTACTTGTTATATTTGTGCATTATTATTATTCAAATGTAAGTAAAATAAAATTTTTAATGACAATCTTCAACTGAAATGAATGATATTTGAAAATATTACAAATGGATATTAACATTGAATAATAATAATAATTTACATTTATAATAACATTAACTTAATAATAACTAAAACTACTTAAAGCAAACAAACAAATACAAGCAATTATTATAATATTTTTACAGTTGAAGTTAATATTATTAGCCCTCCTGTAATAATTTTTTTGCTAATGTTTCCAAAATAATATTTAACAGAGACAGGGAATTTTCACAGTAGGTCTGATAATATTTCTTCTTTTGGAGAAAGTCTTATTTGTTTTATTTCAGCTAGAATAAAAGCAGTTTTTATTTTTTTTTAAAGCATTTTAAGGTGAATATTAGCCTCCTTCAGCAATATATATTTTTTCAACAGTCTACAGAACATACCATCATTGTACAATGACTTGCCTTATTATTTTAGTTAACCTAATTAATGCAGTTACATCTTTAAACTGCAGTTTGAGCTAAATAGTATCTTGAAAAATATATAGTAAAATATTCTGTGGTCATCATGTCAAAGATAAAACAAATCAGTTATTAGAAATTAGTTATAAAACTATTACGTTCAAAAAAAATCTTCCTTACATTAAACAAAAATTGGGGGAAAATATACAGGGGGGCTAATAATTCTGACCTCAACTGTTGGTCACTGCTAAATCCTAAGGAGTGATGAATGCACAGCAGTCTTACCCCCCATAAGTGGATGTCCTTATGGAACACTTTGTCGCCTTCGAACTGAATGTGGCAGGTTAACTGCAGATTGACGGAGAACACAAAAACAGACACAGAGCACTGCATGAAGAATCTGACAGGACGCTGATGTGCAAATCGAACATCCGAAGTTTTGAACTTACCACAGTGCGGTTGGCCTCCACATAGGAATGATCTGGATTGCAGTTTTTGGCGTAGATCGTGACAACAACCTGGCTTCCAGTCTGATGCCAATCATGTCGACAGGCCACCTTCTTTTTATCCTACAGACCAAATAAACACAACATGCACATTTCTCAGAGAGGACCAGTGGGGCGTTTGCTGATTATACAATGTGTGCCCACGTAAACAACAACAGTGTGAAGTCCATGAGCACCTGTTTGGGGATCCAGCAATGCTTTCCAGATGTACAGCCCTTCTGGTCCAGGAAGGCGTTAAAGTCGGTGGTTTTTATACAGCAGCAGTTCCAGTATTTGTATCTAAAAAGTGAGCAGCAGATGAGAATTAACATGCATTCATTGGAAAAAAAAAAAAAAAAAAACTACTACTGGGGGTTATTACAAGACTTTTACACTAGACTAATACAAAGACTATATAAAACACATAAGACATGTCACTCAACAGGGAAAATTGTAACAGTCAATATGGCGAAAAAAGCCCAGCCTACTAGTAAAGAAGCAAATCATCGATCGAAATACTAACGTTTCTCCGGGGGATGCTCAGATCAGACGTTTGCTTTTTACAACAGTTTGGTCGTCAAAAAACATACTGGAATCTCAGCAAATACTTGCTTCAAAGACATAAAAAATATATCCAAATAAAGCTTGAAACCTGTGCTTTTAAGCGAGCCAAGTGCACTTGATAATAAAAGTTAAGGTAATCTGTATGAAACAAACTCAAGGTACAGTCCATCCTGTCAAACGCATGTCACATGACAGCAACTATTCAAACGTCCACAAACTTGTAAACAAAGAGTCGCTTTCATTTTTTGGAAGACATTCATCACCAAGATCAAGTTGTGAATTACTTCAGAAGAACAGCACGATCTGATGAAGCATTCATGGTGAGAATGATAATGTTTAGAACAGCCATAAATTATGTTGGTGTCGTTATTTCATACCTTTTGAGTGTGCATTAGCTCGGTCACCCTAAGAATATGCAGATTTGGTTTGATTTGAACGTTTAGATTTGAAACTTATGAGACAGTTGTTAATTTTATTGGTGATTCCAAATATGTAATGTAATATAAGCTTGGCTAAAAGTTTTTGAGGATTTGACCCCAATCAGACAGAATGCCCAAGCATAAAAAAATGAAACGCCCTGAAAGGCGTTTCAAAGACAGCCGCCCAGTAAAATGACTTGCTTTAAAAGGACTTTGACTATTGCAGACTAAGACTATTAAGACAAGATGAAATTGTGTGATTAGCAAATTCATATCATAATCATTGTTAATGAAGTTCTTTGACAGATATGCAGTTAATTGCTGACAGAAAAAGGGGTTTTTCTGTGTCATGATTTTCATTCAGTTAAATTTGCTAACACTTAGGTTTAGATAACAATTCACACCACTTACTATTAACTTATTACATGCCTATGATTTTAGATACAGTTTATTAGCACTTATAAAGTATGATCTTATTTTACATCCCTAATCCTACCCTGAACCTAAACTCAACTACTACCTTACTTAATATTACTAAGCAGCAGCTAATTAGTAGTTTATTGAGCTAAAAGTCTTAGTTAATGGTTTGTTAATAGCATTAATTGTACATTAAAATACAGTGTGACATTAAATTCATTCATTCATTTTCTTTTTAGCTTAGTGTCTTTATTATTCAGGAGTCACCACAGCAGAATGAAACGCCAACTTATCCAGCATATGTTTTAAGCAGCAGATGCCCTTCCAGCCGCAACCCAACACTGGGAAACACCCATATATTCTTGCACTCAGACTCATACACTACAGACAATTTAGCTCATTCAATTAACCTGTACCGCATGTCTTTGGACTGTAGGGGAGCACCCGGAGGAAACCCACAGGAACACGGCGATATATATATATATATATATATATATATATATATATATATATATATATATATATATATATATATATATATATATATATATATATATATATATTTTTTTTTTTTTTTTTTTTTTTTTTTTTTGGCAAAGACTAAAAAGTGTTTATTCAGGTCCATCTTTTAAAATTCATGTGCCTTAATGCCTGCTTCACCCCGCCATGTCAGCTTTACATCATCAATATCTGAGGTAAACTTATAGCAGCTTTCAGTGTAGCTACTGTATGAATGTCACGGAAATGCTATTCAAACTCACATTCGAAGCATTTAATACCAAACAAAGAGGATATTTACTGTATCTCTGGCCTGCACTTCAACAATTCACTTCACGAGCACTGTGAATATAGCCTAGTAAGCATGAAAAAGACCTAAAGGCCTTTTTACACAGTAGAGATGGCACACAAACCAAACCCGAAGCAGCATAAATTCACAAAAATGTGTATTTATTCAGACGGTTTAATGCAGTATATCATCTTTACACTTAATTCCGAGCAGACAGAGACCTTGTTTAAGACCACCCTAAATCAGCTGTGTAAATATGACTTAAGTGCACTTCAAGCCTTAACTTATCTTTTATACCATACAGTACACTATGTTCAGTAATGACACCTTGTAGACAAACTAAGTAGTGTTTTAAAAAAGTGCATACTAATCTGTAGACGAAATTTGCATATAAAGTAGACTATACTCTATACTTTAAGCTTAAAGGGATAGTTCACCCACAAGTTGGCATGTAATAAGTCCACCCTCAAGTGGTTCCAAACCCGCATACGATTCTTTTATCTGATCAACACTAAATAAGATATATTGCCTGTAAAAAATAAACCGGTAACTATAGACATCCACAGCATCAACTGGCATCTGGTAACCATTGGCATAAAAAAAAAAAAACACTACAAAGGTCAATGGTTACCGGCTTTCAGCATTCTTCTAAACAACTTCTTTTGTGTTTAACAGAAGAAAGAAAATCAAATCAGGTGTGTGACAAGGAGTAAGTAAATGGTAAATGTAAAAGCAATGAGAAAGTAAAAGGAGTGAGTAAATGATAAAGAGCTTTCTGTGCAAATAGTGTCTTTACTACTGTGTTTCTCAACCACATTCACCAGTCTGCACATTTGCCATGTCTCTTTAAAACAAACACACACTTGATTCAGGTCATCAGCTCATTAGCAGAGACTGAAACACATGTGGTGGGTGTGACTGACAAAGGAGACATCCAAAACATGCAGAGCCGGTTGTCCTCTAGGAACGTGGTCAAGAAACACTGTTTTACTAGTCCTTTAAAAAAGAAGTAAGGAGGTTTCTTACCCTTCATGGAAAACAGGAGCTCCAGGATGATATATGCAGATCTCCGCATTGGTCTCAGGACCCTCATAAGACTGCACAAACACACACACACACACACACACGCACAATCAACGGTTTTGAAAAGCTATGCATAGTCAACACACAGATGTACCTCAATCTACACACTCACAATAACTCAGCATATTTATAAAAGCTAAACTTTAAAGTGCTGATGCACCTGGACTCAGAACAAGCTTTGTGTCATCCATTTACTGCCTTCACACCTGAAAACACACTCATTTTTCTACACTACTGAAGAGATAAATGAGCAGGAATCTGTAATAGAGCTGTATGTGTTTGTCAGTTTCAAAGGCTAAAGAAGAAATGGCATTAACTGTGACAAAAGGAAGGCAACATCTAGACATTAAACTGATGAGCAAGACTGATTCTCTTTTAATGCAGGAGATGAAAATTCAGTTTAATTTGTCATGACCCCTATGACTGAGCAGAACGATGGAGCTATTATGTTGTTATATTCCACTTCAGAGTCTACGCTTCTGACTCATTCTAGAATTGCAGGTACACTTCAAGCTTTTTCCAATTGTTTTCCAATCATTTTGCTTAAACTAGAATGGCATATAACAAATGTGTAACTTACAGTAAACTGAATGCTTTAGATTAGATTAGATTAGATTAGATTAGATTAGATTCAACTTGATTGTCATTAAACAGTACAAGTGCAGGAGTGCAATAGCTGCAAGTGCAGGATATAGTTATAAGTTATAAAGTGCAATTATAGAAAAACAATGGGTAATATTTACAGATAGATGTACTATGAACATATTATACAGGTTAAATTACCTATGAACCCAGATTTGCAATAGATGAATACATCTATTACTAGTCTGACTCTTAATAGTTGCTATTAATAGTCAGACGTTTGCAGATATTTAACTTAGAGTATATATACAAAAAGTTTAAAAATAGACTTACTTTGGCTCAATATTGAATTTTCCTTTAAATGTCATATTAATTTTATAATAAAAAGTTATATCAATGCTTATGTTATCTTTATTGCTCTATTAATTGTTTTTCAGTTCAAGTAAGTAAAAATTGACTTCTTAATTATTTTTCTTATTATTGATAATGCTGATATTATTTATAACAATACATCTGATATTAATTTAAAACCTTTAAATACTGTCTTCAACTCTTTATCTAGATTTGTTTAAAGATGTCTGTACACTACCTGACAAAAGTCTTGTGAAAAAAAAAAGAATTTTGTGTATGACTCTCATGAGCTTGGAGGACTGCATTGATTCATCTCTGCAATGACTCAAATAACGTATTAATTAAGTCTTCTGTATTGGCAAAGAAAGCGTTCTTGCATGACCCCCAGACTTCATCAAGATTCTTTGGATTTATATTTAATGTCTGGACTGGCCAATCCTGGAGCACCTTGACCTTCTTTTCTTTCAGAATCTTTGACGTAGAGGCTGAAGTATGGGAAGGAGTGCTATATCCTGCTTAAGAATTTGCTCTCTCCTGTGGTTTTTAATATAATGAGCAGCACAAATGTCTTGACGACTCAGGCTGTTGATGTTGCCATCCACTCTGCAGATATCTCGCATGCCCTAAATGTAACCCCAAATCATAATTTTTCCTTCACCAAACATCCACTTTCTGTGAGAATCATAAGTCTTTGCTGGTTCCAATAGGTCTTCTGCAGTATTTGTGATGATTGGGATGCAGTTCAACAGATGGTTCATCAGAAAAATCTACCTTCTGCCACTTTTCCAAATGATCAACTAGAAGTCAAGTTATTATTTGCTGCTCTTACAACTGGGATCGACGACAAGACTTTTGTCATGTACTGTATAGAACCCATCATAGCATATTACATGAATGAATCTCTTTGTTTCCGTAGACAATATTATTGGTATTTCTCTTTTTATCACTCTTGGTATCACTATTTTAAATGTGTGTGTTTTTTTTTAGTTTCCCCTTCTCATTTAAAGCAGTTTTTTTAATTTACCTCTACATATTCTCTTCCAAATATGCGACAGAATTACTTTTTTGTTTCCAAGGATTACAACAAACAGTGGCCGTAGGTCCTTTCAATACAAAGTTCCTTTTGACTGGAACAATCTGTCTTCTTCTTTTAGGTCAATTAAGACTTTTAGTCTTTTCAGGACTAATTTATTTTCTTTTTTGGAAACAACTTGTACTGTAAATGTTATTAATTTTGGTTCCAATTTAAACGCTTATTATTTATTTGTATATCAAACTGTTTGTACTTTTGATTATATCTTTTTGTTTGCTTGGGCTTTAGACTGTGGTAAGTGTTTCAGGTGAAGTGTGCTGCTTATTTGCTTGTTTTGTTTAGCTGTATGTTTGTTTTAATATGTTGAATTTATGTGCTTCTTAAGGGCGCCCTCGAAAATCAGATGCTTCATCTCAAGGGGCTGTCCCATTTAATAAATTCAAATATTTCATGATAACTAAAGCTGAACATACGATTCAAAAATAAGTCAAATGTGTGATTCAAAACTACGTATAGTGAGAATCTTCGAACTATTATTTTCAAGACAAAAGTATATACACATATAGACTTGATATTAATTTTGTTACTATTCAAAACCGTTCATTAAAGATTTTGAAAAATAATTAAGGGATTTATCTTGGAGATGCAAACTGTACTGCAATCCCCCTTATGCAGTCTGTGTCTATTTCAAAGCATGTCATTCCACCATCATGATACATAAAATGACATTTTATTGAAATATAATAAAATAAATATGCCAAGCACTTACTGTACATGAGTAAAAAACCTAAAAGTCATTAATTCAGCAGTGAATGGCACATGAACCTGCTGATAAAGCTTTAGTTCTCACCTGGACTAAAAAGGTCTGCTGAGTAATTAACACAATGATCCATTGGGATTTCAGGAAACTAATCCATTAAAGATGATCTTTTCCCAGGGAAGCGAAGATTTAACAGAAGCCATTAAGGTCAATTCCCAGTAAGGGATATTTAGTCATTAATTCTCACTCATCTCCTGCTTGGTGTCCATTAAGCAATACACTAGTGTAAATGCTGATCTAGTATCAGCTTCTGCTCCTCCTGTTCTTTTGAAACTGGTTGTGAGGACCAAAGAAAACTGATACCAGATTAGTAACTTGCATTAAATGAATAGTTCACCAAAACAAATGAAAATGCACTCAATAACAAATAAAATAAAAAATTAAATGTACTCAAGTGGTTTCAAGCCTTTATGAGTTTCCCAAAGCAAGATATTTTGAAGAATGTCAGTAAGAGGTAACTATTGACTTCGGTGCAATGCTTTTACTACTACAGAAGTCAATGGTTACAGGTTTTCAGAGTTTTTCAACATACTGTAACATATTTTGTGTTCAACTAAAAAAAAGAAACTCAAAGAGGTTTGTGAGAAGTGAAGGGAGAGTAAACGATAACCGAATATTCCATTTCGGTTAAATTGAAGCATGTCGGTGCCTGAAGCGCTGCCCTCCTCATGACCACTAGATGGCATAATATGTACATTTTCTGAGCAAGCTAATTTGCTTCACTGATTCTCATATTACATGAGCACTTACTGTACCTTTCTGCATCCTGTGTTTTTGCACTTAATCCCAACCACAAGAGCTTGACTCTCTATGGGATAGAAAGAGAGGAGAGTGACAGGAGGAAGAGAAAACAATAACAACAGATTGTCAGCCGAACACATGTACAGAAAGCGTGAAAGCCAGCTGATGTCTCAAATGTGTCGCAGTCGTATTACAGCAACAGGTGAGACGGTGAGAGCTCAAACCTTGATGCTCTGTGACATGACAGATTATGGACAGGCGGGGATCAGATCTACAGCTACTGTCAAGAGCTGACATCAACATCAGCTGCATAAACACTACTCTAGAAGAGTCAACAAAACCACAGTAACTCAAGCAAATAATAATATAGCTAAAAGAAAACAGAACTAAGCATACAGTAATATAATGTATAATAATAATAATAATAATAATAAAGATTATATTTGTTTATATAATATTACTGATAATAATAATATTAATAATTTTATTATATAATTGTTTTATTATATGAATTATAATATATTATACTATATTTAGGCAAGGCAAGTTTATTTTTATAGCACATTTCATACACAGTGGCAATTCAAAAGTGCTTTACATAAACAAGAATAAAAGAAACAAGTATAAGAAAAATAAAAACAAATAATAAAAATAATTAAACGGATAAAAACAACAACATAAAAACAGATTAAAGTTTATCTATATTAAATTATGTTTTACTTTATATTATATTATATTATATTATATTATATTATATTATTATATTATATTATATTATATTATATTATATTATATTATATTATATTATATTATACATTATTATTTTATTTTATATTATATTATATTATTATATATTATTATATATTATATTATATTATATTATATTATATTATATTATATTATTATTATATGCATATACTCAATTAATATATAAATAAACCATTGACATTACACAGAAATATTGAGGCCAATCTTTTTTTAATGATCAATATATAATCTGGGTTAAATGATTAAAGAGCCTCTGCACTGGGATCAGTCTGCTTTTGCTACATGTCAGTGTTCAGAAACAGCAGCTTTGCTCACCGAGCTTCTCTCTCTTCTCTCTCTCGCTGATCTCCATTTTCTCCATGATCTGAATCAGAGATGGAGAGATCTTCACCTGCAGCTTTGTCTTGGGCTCATCTGAGCTGAAGAGGAAAACAGAAGTCAAAACAAGTCACTGTCTCTTTTTATTGACCAGAGGAATAAGTGCTTTTCCATTTTAGAGTAAAAAAAATAATAATAATGAATTATTCAGGTATTGTGGCGGCATGGTGGGCCAGTGGTTAGCACTGTCACCTCGCAGCAAGAAGGTCACTGGTTTGAGTCCCAGCTGGGCTAGTTGGAGTGGAGTTTGCATGTTCTCTCCATGTACTTGTGGGTTTCCTCCAGGTGCTCCGGTTTCCCCCACAGTCCAAAGACATGTGCTATAAGTTAATTGGATGAACTAAATTGGTCGTATTGTGTGAATGGGTGTTTCCCAGTACTGGGTTGCAACTGGAATGGCATCTGCTGCATTAAACATATACCAAAATAGTTGGCAGTTCATTCTGCTGTGGCGACCTCTGATATATAAGGGACTAAGCCAAAGGAAAATTAATGAATATTACATACTACATACTTATATGCGAGCTGCATATAAGTATGTAGTCTATTGACCTTATACTGCAATCCGGATGTGTGCTCATTTCTCCTTCTGATTCAGTTACTACTAGGAAAAATTACTACAGGAATGATAAACATCAGAAAACGGTGAAACTACTTGCTGTACAAACAAATGTGTTCATGACTATGCAGACAAAGTAGAATAATATAATAGGAAATTATCAGTTTGCAAGTAGCATAACGAGCTTTTTTTAATGTCTAAAAATGAATGCAAGTAAATGAGACCGGTAGTCTCAAGCCAACAAGAATTAAACGGCTGCAGCCGCTTATACATAAAGAATAAAGTCAGTATACCTAGGTCTTTCTTTTTCCAGAGCCTCTGCAGATTTGGGCCCCTGGTAGATGATCTCCTCTGCTGTGCCGTGCTGCTTCATGCCTCCTTTCTCAGACGTGACCTCAGGCCGCAGAGGCTCTTCCGGCTTCTCATTACTGTGACGTCCGCGGGTGCAGCCCTGAAACGGCATGCCAATCAACAGACGAACACAGAAAATAATTATCAGACCCACGGAGATAAATTACATGTTTGAGACTCTATGAATGGCTTTCAATGACCACAGCATTCCACGGTGCATGATTAGTCCAATTATTATGGCTTATTATTTGTCATTATTGCCTTTTACACATCTGTTCTAGCTTTTGTAGATCTTGCTTTTGACTGTCAGCACTGATAATGTTGGCTGAAATAAATTGGTCATTTGGTAAAAGCATCTGTTAAATTAATTAACTGTTTTGTTTTTTTGTATTTAAATTAGTTTTGACATTTTATTTTACATGCATCAGTGGGATCTTGCATGTTGAACATTTTCTTTCCACCAGGAAACTGTGTCGCTAAATTATTAGGTAAATTCATTTTATAAGTGCATTTGGTAACATTTTACTTGACGGTATGTTCATAAGACTCTCATTACACCTTTTTAACATGACATGACACATGCCATAATTGTGAATGAGATTTTATGTATGCTTATAACAACTGTCATTAAGTGTCATTCGCAGTTATGGCATTTTAAATGCAAAGAAGACATTGTTATGAACAGTTGACATAAATACATCACAACCTGTTTTTGTATTTGTCATGACAACTTGACATCATCAAGACAATAAAACTTGTCATAAATATGTCATAAACATGATTGTCATTGTAAACATGTCATGAACTTTATAACAGCATCGTTAATTTTGTTTTACCTCAACATCAGTGGTACAAGCTGAAACAGTCATTAAATATAAATGATGCTGTTTAAAATTGACACATTTATTTAGACATTATAATAAAATAAAAAAGTTTTTTTCAATTGAAAATGTGCTCAGAAAAATATTCATGACACGATTATAATGTCTCATGATAATAGTGTTTATGACAGATTTAAGTTACGATGCCTTGATAGTCAAGTTGTCATGACAAATGTAAAAACAGGTTGTTATGTATTTGTCAAATTTTCATAATAAACAATGTCCTCTTTGCATTTAAAATGATATAACTGAGCAAATTAAGTAGTGTTACTGGGCATTTTAGACCTGTTATTTCATTCTGTCCTAAAATGTTAATTTATAGGCTACTATATACACTCACCAGCCACTTTATTAGGTACACCTGTCCAACTGCTCGTTAACACAAATTTATAATCAGCCAATCACATAGCAGCAACTCAATGCATTTAGGCATGTAGAGATGGTCAAGTCGATCTTCTGTAGTTCAAACCGAGCATCAGAATGGGGAAGAAAGGTGATTTTAGTGACTTTAAATGTGGCATGGTTGTTGGTGCCAGACTAGCTGGTCTGGGTATTTCAGAAACTGCTGATCTACTGGGATTTTCACACACAATCATCTCAAGGGTTTACAGATAATGGTCCAAAAAAAAAAGAAAATATCCAGTGAGCGGCAGTTCTGTGGGCGCAAATGCCTTGTTGATGCCAGAGGTCAGAGGAGAGTGGTCAGACAGCTTCGAGCTGATAGAAAGGCAAGAGTAACTCAAATAACCACTCATAACAACAGAGGTATGCAGAAGAGCATCTCTGAACGCACAACAAGTTGAACCTTGAGGCAGATGGGCTACAGTAGCAGAAGACCACACCAGGTGCCACTCCTGTCAGTTAGGAACAAGAAACTGAGGCTACAATTTGCACAGGCTCACCAAAATAGCACAATAGAAGATTGGAAAAACATTGCCTGGTCTGGTGAGTCTCGATTTCTGCTGCAACATTCGGATGGTAGGTGCAGGCTGCTGATGGTGGTAGTGTAATGGTGCAGGGGATAAATTCTTGGCAAACAAGCGCCAATCATCTCAGACTGGTTTCTTAAACATGAAAATGAGTTCACTGTACTCAAATGACCTGTACAGTCACCAGTCTCAATCCAATAGAGTACCTTTGGGATGTGGTGGAACGGGAGATTTGCATTATGGGTGTGCAGCTGACAAATCAGCAACAACTCTATGATGCTATCATGTCAATATAGACAAAAATCTCTGAGGAATATTTTCAGTACCTTGTTGAATCTATGCCCCAAAGGATTAAGGCAATTCTGAAGTCCAGCCCGATAGTAAAAGGTGTACCTAATGGCCGGTAAGTGTATAAACTCAAACATGAGTCTTATTTTGTTGTCCTGTTTACAAAAGTGATTTCAATACAAACAATGCATAAATAAATACAAAAAGTGCAAAATAGGTGAGACAATAGCACATTAAAGAACATTTATATTCTGACCTGTGATCAGGGAAGGGAAAAAATACATTGAAATGAATTATAAAATAAAATACCAAATACCACAGTTTTACATGTATCAAGATAAACTTCAAAATACAGCAGCCACATATGTATCAAAAAACAATACTGTATTTTACAAATACTACAAAATACTTTTACATGGGAGCATCAAATTTATTCCATCAATAGACCTATTCAATCAATCCTTCACCATCAAACTGAGTCAGGGAAGTAAACAATGATAACAACAGCGTTTCTCTGAGCAAGTTTATGTCAGCTTCTCTGCCAACTCATTCACCTCTACTCTTGTACATGAAGAGGTATCAATACTTTTGATTGGATTTACGCTTTTGTTTCTCTTTCATTTTAGTATAAACTTTGTACAAATTTCATACAGAAAGTGTTGTCTTGAAGATGATCTCTTTAATCAGTATAGAAACCATGTAATGCAGATAATGAGTTGGAACATTGTACTGTATCTCTTTTTTTTTTTTTGTATTTCCATCCATTGTTAGGCAATTAATGTTGACACCATAACTTAACAGTTTTATGTTTTAAAAGGATGATATATGAAGAGGTTATTCAATTTTTTTGCAATATTAAATATGATGAAATCTTTAATACTTATTGTAAAAACATGATTCTTCAGTTTTACTTGTTTCTATAAATCATATTTTTCTGTAATTGTAGTCTTTACAACCTGCAGATCGTACCTGTAGGAACCTGTAGGAGTCACCAATGTTGGACTTATTGTAATGTTATTTGTCTTATTATTATTTTTTATTTTTCGGCATCTCCATCAGTAATTCTTTCAAAACTACTATTTTTTGTGCCGTTTACTCATTCTCGCAAGATTTTTTGAATTCTTCTTTAACTGGAAGTGACTCAGTTTACCCTCTTAGTGAACACTAGTACACAATCTTTAGGTGTTTTTTATTCTATTACCCAGGGTAATATAAGAACTAAAAAAAGCACTAATCAGAGGCCACATTTGTAGACATCATGTATAGGTTTCTTACAAAGTATTTTACAGTCTTTTAAAAAATACAGAAATACCAGACACTAAAGTGTTTTGATCCAAATTATTAAGCCATTTTCATCAACCCAATCAAATACAAATTACAAAATACTATTTTGTATTTGAAATGTTTTTTAAATACTTGTATCATAAATACTGCCCATCCCTGTCTGTGATTCTGATATATTGAATAAAAATTAATCAATTAATTAAAAAATTGCCTATATAATGTGTGTGGTAAAATTATAGATATAATTAAAAAAAACAAAATGAGACATATTCAACTGTGTGTGTCGGCCGAGGGTGGGGGTTGTATTACAATTCTGTTTTACCATTCAGTATTTGGAGGGTGTCGGAGATGTAATTTCCGTCTAGTCTACAGTATGTGCATCGTATGAAAAGCAGCATGACGATTATCATATTATTAGCATACCTTGATTGACAGGAACTCCGAGAAATCTGTCGTCCGCTTTTTACAGCACGACCAGCCCTGAGGAGAAAACCCAAACAAAGAGCCACATCAGACAGCCCAGAACAAAACAAAACAAAAACATGAATATTAGACTCCCTGAGAAGCGGACAAAAACACCAAGACAATGTGCTTATCAAGTTACGACAGCGCAAGAAGTGAACAGCCGGCGGTCTGAACGCTGAGTCCAAATAAAGACCCAGAAAAAAAAAATGCATTTTGAGCTCACCTTTAAGGCGTCGTGGAAGATTGGCACTCCTGGGTGAAACCGACAGGCATCTTTAGGCGGTAAGAGAGAGAAATATGTTAGCAGGAGACGTTTATCTAGGCTGCAGTCCATCCTTATTATTTTTTCATGAACACGACTCAACAGGATTGAAGCCTTGCTTGCTGGCATAAACAACATTCACGTTCAATCACATGCCTGGCAAAAACAGTTGGCAGATGAGCCTTTTATGTAAGCAACTTTTGATTAGAACACTTCCAAATGTGCTAGAGACTCTGTGGATTCACTTTTTTCCCCTGTCAGTGTAAATAAAACACAAAAAGATATTGTTGTACATAGCAGGAGGCTGTCTTATTGCAAAATGAAAGCCAATTTAAAGTCATAGTTCACCCCAAAAAGAAAGCTGTCATTTACTCACCCTCGGCTTGTTCCAAACTATTTTTTTTCTGATGAATGCAAGAGATTTTTTTAAATGTTGGTAAAATAACCATTTAAAAAACTAACCTTTAAAATTAACCGCATTGGAAAAGTATTCATTAATTCATTTTCTTTTTAGCTTAGTCCATTTATTAATTAGGGGTTACCACAGCAGAATGAACCGCCCACTTATCTAGCATATGTTTTACACAGCGGATGCCCTTACAGCTGCAACCCATCACTGGAAAAATGCTCATACTTCACACACATACACTACAGACAATTTAGTTTATCCAATTCTCTTATAGTGCATATCTTTGGATTGTGTGGGAAACCGGAGCACTAATGAACACGGGGAGAACATGCAAACCCCACACAGAAGTACCAACTGACCTAGCCAAGGCTCAAACAAGTGACCTTCTTGATGTGAAGCGACAGTATTACCCCACAAAATTAACCACTAACGCTAATCCTTTCTTTTTCCAACAATGGATGTCAAAGGCAACCGGTTTCCAACATTCTTCAAATTATATTCCTTTTTGTTTTTATACAAACTAGAAATTCTTCCAGATTTGAAACCACTTTAAAGGTGCAGTAGGTGATCTACCCAAATGCTAACTGTTAGCATAATAACTTTGAAAACACAGTCCCCCTCCCCTGCAGTCTAAAGCCATGCCTCCTGAAATTAAACGCGCATCTTAAGATGACAGCAGACTCCGTCTGACACTAATCATTACTATTGGAATGTGAAGAAACTTTTAACCAGCACAACAAAAAAATGTTTCTGAAGATAATCACCTACTGCACCTTTGAAGTGATAGTTTAAAAATGACAATCCTGTCATGATTTAATCAGCCTCCAGGGTCTCCAACACTAGCAGATCTCATTCATTTGACAACTGCTCTACATAATTCAGTAAATGAATCAGCAGTCTCACAGGCCTAGTAAAGAAAATGATGAAACACTTCAGATTTCTCAAAAGTTGTTGGTTATTTGTAACATGCAGGTGACCACGACCTTCACATGAACATTTGAAATACGTTTCCTTCAATTGAAAAAAAAATCGTAACCACCCATTTTTACTATATATACACACACAAACCATAAAAATAAAGCAGAAATATTACCATCAGTGTTTTTGTCTGCATCAAATCGATCCCCGCAGCCTCTGTTGTAACATAGTAGAGCCATGTTGCCCTGTTTAATATTCCAGTTGACTTTTAATCACTGGACTTTATCTCTTTTTTGTTGCTGTTGTTGTTGTTGTTGAAATGCGCTGTCCTGTATTGGTCTGGGGTCTTTATGAACTTGTCCTGCTGCTGTGAAGATTTTCCAGAACTTTCAGCCAAGGAGAGATCCAGAAGGAACAGCCACAGCCATGGAAAGAGAAGGGATATTCTAGTCTGAATGAGCTCTAAAAATAGCCAGTGCCATGTGCTTTCTATCTCTCTGTCGCTCCTTACAGCTGTTGGGGTCCGTCGGAGAGAGTGTGACATTCCTGGGGTCCACAGAGAGGGGGGGAGGCAAAAATGAATATGGAAAATCTCACTAAACTACAAACAACTGAGTAAAAAAAAAAAAAGTGTTTTCAAGCTAATTCAAAAGAAGGGTTGTGTGCTATTTTGCTACTTTATCAGTTGATTAATGGCTAATAAATCAGTATACAGTATGTACTAACCTGTCACTTTTTTTGGCACACCTCGTCGTACAGGTAGGTTAGACCCCAATTTACCTTTAGATCTGATTCACCAATAAGACGCTGAAAACATTGTTTTGAGATTTTGGTTGATACTGGCATAGTTGCATCATGGAGTGAACTCAGCTGCAGATTTGTCGGCTGTACATCCATGATCCAAATCTCCCATTCCACCATGTCCCAAAGGTGCTTTATTGGCATCAGTGAAGGCATTTGAGTTTAGTGGGGAAAAAAGAGAAAGGTTGTAGCCAATATAAGATGTGGTCATAAAGGGATGGACAAGTAATTGATATGCGTGTGCCTGCTTCAGGGGAAAATTAAGAGACAACTTGAAAATTATCAGTTTCTCTGAATTTACTGGAAATATGTGATTGAGTAAAGTTAAATTTGCTTTATTCAATAAAGATCATAGTTTCTAAAAGAAAAAAACCTAATTTAAAGCATTTTTAATTTAGCAAAAATTCACAACCATGGTCAAAAATAACAAATAGATTTTCACTTGTGATTGAAAAATATTTCACAAAAACACTTAAAATCTAAACACTGATATCTCTGTTATCATTTATTCAACCTGCACTTGTTCAAAACCTGTTAGAATTTCTTCTGTTGAATACAAAATAAGTTATTTTTAAGGATGCTGGTTGATGGTACCCACTGACTTTAATAGTAGTTATTTAACCAACTGTGAAAGTGAATGGGTAAAGTGCTCATCTTAAACAGGCATTTTTCAAAATATCTTGTGTGTTTAATAGAAGAAAGTAAATCATGAAGGTTTATTTTGACCAATAACTATTTTATGCTCTTGACAGTATATTTATTTTAAATTTAGAAGAAATTGGTCAGTTTTCATTATGGCTTAATATGCACGTGTATTTAAATTACTCATCCAGTATAATGCATTATTTACATAGATGTTTTTATATTGTACTGTATTTTTAAAAAATCATTGGTGCAATACCTTATGAACACAATAGGTGCATAGTGTTCAAGTATGTTCAAGTACGAGTTAAGGCTACTTAAAGCGCAACCAAAAAAGGTACTTAGGAATTTTCCCTATTAAAATTCATTTACAAGTGGTCTCTTCACTGTATTAAAAAAAAAAAAAAAAATTCTGCCCAAACTCAAAATTTTTAAGTGATTGGTCACAGCAAAATTCAAAATGTTAAAATTCGGCAAAGGTTATTTTTTATTTATTTATTTTTTGTTAATTTGACTAGCAGCCTGTTAACATTGGCTCAATAAGAAATAATGTGTTGAGCCAATTGAAAAACCATCTAGTCTGCCCAATCATGTTATTGGCCCAATCAAATACTTCAAATTGTTGTAGCGTGCTTTTTTGGTCTCATTTAATTTAAAAATGTATATTGATAAATTAACATTGCTTAAGCAACTATACTGAATTCTTTATTGCCTGTTGATTTTTTTCCTATACAAATGTATTAATAAAATGTTTATTTATGCAATTTACCCTGTTCAGCCATTTACTGTTGTGGAATCGGTTTAAAATCTATAACATACAAATTTTTCCCCATTTTTTATTTTCCCTTAAAACAATATCTATATCTGTGCTGTAGTGAACATTATTCAGGTAGAAATCAGACAATACTAACACAGCTTACATTTAAGTGTTCCCATAACTAAAACGGATTATCATTTTTGTATTGTTAACCCACAACTACTAAAATGTGGTGTGACTGATATTTAAAAAAAAAAAAAAGCTTTATTTACCAGACACATTAAAGACATATTTTACGAACTACATTTTTTTCTTACTCACCAAAGGTTTCTGTAGAAACAGATCACCATTTTGGAAAACTGTTTTAAGTATAATGTGGATTCGTTCATTCGTTTCCCTTCGGCTTATTCCCTTATTTATTAGGAGTTGCCAGAGCAAAATGAACAGCCAACTAAAACAGTATATGTTTAACGCAGTGGATCCCTTCCAGCTGCAACCACAAATTGGGAAACACCCATACAGTTACACACACTCATACACTATGGCCAGTTTTGCTTACCCAATTCACCTATAGTGCATGTCTTTGGACTGTGAGGAAAACCGGAGGACCCAGAGAAAACCCACATGAACACGGTGAGAACATGCAAACTCCACATAGAAATGCCAACTGGCCCAGCCAGGACTCAAACCAGTGACCTTCTTGTTGTAAGGTGACAGTGCTAATCACTAAGCCACCAGACCGCCCTCATTACAGTAATATATTGCATTTTTTATCAAATAAATGCAGCCTTGGAGAGCAGATGAGACTTTTTTATAAGCATTAAGCAGACCTCAATGTTTTGATGGCCTATATAGTGCATGTACTGTATACTCCGTTGCAAATGCAAGATAGTCCTTGTTAACTGAACCACTTTGAGTCAGAAGTCAAGAGGCTGCGCTGAGGTTTGTTAAGATGCTTGTGTTCTGTAACAGTTAGGGGTTGGATTTGAGTTGGAGAAACAGATCCAGTCATAAAGGGAGCACAAACTTTTCACAGAGCAAAAGAATTGACTGCAAATGATATCTTGAAACAAGTCTCGAATCCCGGTGCAATTAATAAACAAGCTGCATATGGGAAACCTTGAGAAATGAAGCGAGATACAAGTCCTGACTGCACAGATGAATATTAATAGCCGCTCAGAATAAGCCACGGAGATGAACTCTGTTAAAAATGTCCTTTATTAAGAAACCGGTGAGCGCGAGCGTTAAATCCATTTATTCACAAGGCATTCACTCATGGTTCAGGTTAGAGGCTTGCAACCATAAATTTTCTTCACAAATACAGAGACAACGAAAACAGAGACCGAGACAGAAAGAATGAAAGAACTTACAAAAAAAACGACTCAAGCAAAAATCGCAAGGAGGAATATAACATACCAGATCAGCACAACCAACCACTGATAAATCATAAAAAAGAACAGATATACACAGAACCCGTCCATCACTACGACGACAACTGCTTACTAAAAAACAGCACCATATTTAATAGAACTTCGCAAACGTTACATGGATCTGTGAAACTTTCCCAGGCATGTCAGATACAAAAACATGCAAGAAAACAAGTAGAACTTAGAAAGCGGTTGAAAGAAAACGGGAGTTCAGTCCATCACACCTCTTGGTCCTGTGTCGAGCATCTCAGTGCAAGCGTACAAAAAGACAGACAGTTGAGGAGAGACTGGTATCATAAGATCTTTGACTTCAACCAGTGCTGTGCGGATTTTTGTGAAGCTCACGGCCAAACCAAAGGCAGTTGCAGATGAAGAGTCAACGATGAAGGTGTTCAGTTACAGATTAAAAGTTTCACTGACAACCATTCTGCCAGAGCTGATGGTGTACAAACACAACCAGGCATGTTTGATTCATTTTCCCCAATGTGTGCAAAAGTTTGTGGCAGAGCCCAAATACTTGATAGGGAAGTGAGATCTCAAATAGTCACTGCTACAAATCATTCAGGGTGACCCTTTAGAAAAGAAGAACAAAGTTTAAATCACTAAAAATAGATAATAATTTCATAATACCAAGAGAAAACTTGGTTTAAGATGCATTTTCAACAATCTGATAACAAGCGGATGGCACTACAAGTGTAAGCGGGGGCTAAAAGGTCTTTCCACTTTTGACCAATAAGAATCTGATTAATTTCATAGTTTTAGATGTTCATGTGGTTGAATGCATTCAAACAGCCACAAGAAAAAACACCTTGTGAATCAACATCCCAGCAAGCATTTGTTTGTTTTTAAAAGATGTTTAATAGACATCGAAACATAATCCATGTGTTTCAGTAGCACCAAAGTAAGAATACCATATTTGGATGTGCATTCTCACATGTCCCATAACAGCCACGTCCCAGCAAACAATTTTGTGTTAAATAGACATCTTAACATAGACAGCTTAGCTAAAACAAAGCTAAACTTGGGCTGTCAGTGAAAATCTAATAAACGTGTAAGAATAGGTCCAAACTAGACTAGTTATCAAGTAAACAAAAATTACCGACTACACACAAAGTTCGTCTAATCTGACGACTTGTCTAGTTTTGGGCAATTCTTAAATGTCTATTAGATTTTCACTGACAGCACAAGCCTTATTTTAGCCAAGCTGTCTACATTTAGATGTGTATTAGACGTCTATTAAGCACAAAATCGTTTGCTGGGATGTGGCTGTTATGGGATATGTTGTGAGAATACACTCAAACAAGGTGTTCTTACTTTGGTGCAACTGTAACTGGACTGATTATGGTTGAAATCATATTTATCATCAGCATTCTTTCACTTGTTTCACTTGCTTATTTTCCTGCTAGCTTGAACTGTGTAACACATTAGGAATAGAGTATAATATCCAGCATGGCAAAGTAAGAGAAAACAGTATCAACAGTGGTATAAAAGTCACAAGATGCACTAAACATAGGCTAATTTAAGGTGGATCAATGGAATATTAGCACAGCTAGTGTTTTTAGCCAATGATGAACTTGCGGTGAAAGGTTTGGGTGACTATTTTCAATTTCACAAGGTTCCTTTTACAGCATCAATGTTGTAATATAATTCAAATATAATCAGATAAACAGACTTAAGCATCCATTTGGTTGTTAAAGTGTAAAGAGAGATGAAAGACCATTTAAACGCAGGCGCCATCATTAGCAGCAGGCTAGCGTAAAAATCTATTGAAAATACTTGGGTAAAATTAATCTTCATAATTTAAAGACATGGCGCGGAAAAAAAATA